TAGATATAGACATACACATTCCTTTTTTGTCTTTTTTTTTTGACATACACATCTTGATTCCCTGGAACCCCGTTTTCGCCCACCCTCCCCCCTTCTGATATCAACCCCATATTATTCTATTCACACACGGGGAGAGGAGTAAGGCGACTAATTACGCCATCATAGTAAGTTATCGTGCCCAGTATACGAGGAAGTCTTCGCCCACACCACGCCCCCTACCAAAGAAAGAAAAAATCCTCTTATGTGATCATATCCTTGTTCTTTTTTCAATACGTGATCGTATCTTTTATTTTGTATAATAAACGTATGTGTCCATATCCGTTCTTTTTTTTTTATATGCGATCATATATTTTACTGCTTGGTCACATGTTCGTTCACCAAAGCAGAGACGACCTGACGACGGTGGGAAATCCATATGTTCCTAACAAGAAGAAAAAAAGAGAGAGAAACAATCAGACGGGACTTATTGTCTCTTGGCAATCATTCACGATTTCACCGCGTGCACTTTTCGGTTTTCGCCTCATGTAATGGCATTATTTCTGGCAGCGCAGGCACGCATTCGCGAGCGCCTAATTTGGGGAGAGGGGGRGGAGCTGTCTCTTATACACATCTAGATGTGTATAAGAGACAGGCAGAATGGAGTGGTGAGAGAGGAGTTGGAACCGCCAGGCTTATGGAACCTAGACCTCAGGGTTCATGTCTGATTGTGAGGCATCGTTGGTGGGTACACAAGGGGGCGCCAGAGTTTGACAAAGATCCAAAAGATCCGGCTACGCTTTGTTGTATGCAGGTTCTTCAAAACGACCAATCACATTTCTCCCATGCTCCTCCACACACACTCTACGGTTGCATCGCAGCATTTCCTTCGCAGTACCCAGATTCATCCACACTCAGTTTTTCAAGTGCACAGTTTTCCTCGGAAGAACGCCAAGTCGCTCGCCCATCCATCCAACCAAACTCTGCGAAATGTTCACCCAACTTCGCCCCAAGCTATGTATGCGTGTGCTTTTTCAGACGACCTCTTCCTTCCTTCGAGAGATTCTCTGCGGATCCGATGCTTCCTCAGTCACTGACTGCCCGAGTTCCACCGATGTACAGATGAATAATGAGTTAGCGCTGGCCA